GGTGGTATGCGGTATGGAGCATCTCTTTGCTTAGCTCAAGTCCTCTGCCCAGCCTACCGCACGCCCTGATCTATTCACTGGGAGGGCAGAGCAAGAAACAGAGACAGCTTTGATACTGCACAAACACTGTGCAGCAAAAGCTAGAACACTGGTGCGTTAGCAGTACTGATTTGGTCAAAAACCTGAAAACAGCACCATATGACCTGCTATGAAAAGAGTTAGTTCTATCCTAGCTAGGCCCAGTACAACTAGCTACAGGAAGAGCCCAGGAACAGTGAACGGCACAAAGGCACTTCATCATTACTCTCAGAAATGAACAATCAGATACAAAATAGGTATACATACTAAAAATTACATTAGGTTTTTTTTTTAGAGTCAGTCTAATTTCCCTGTTGTGGGAGAAAGTAGTTCCTGCTTTACAGTTTAATGAAAACACATTGCAGAGGCTGAAAGTGTAGTCTGGTACAGGAGCAGTATTCCAAATTGCTGGCAGAATAATCTTACAGAACTGTATAGAGTAAACCAGAAGCTGTGTAAAAAAAATAGCTGCGAAGAGATCACAAGTATCCCAGTACAAGACTCAAAACTATCATTTGCTCCAAGCCTTCTCACCACCAGGAGTTTTCCTTTTGTCTGCTCTCTTCCCCCTCGTGTTTAATGGCTTAGCCCCACATCAGAACTTTCTCCTAACTGAGAATGTTTTGAGGAAAGAAACCGTAACAGTTTGACCAGTGGGCTGAAACCCAAGCAGAAACCCATACGGTCACAGACTGAGACAGAGATCATATGGCATTTGGAAAGCACATAATCTTCATCTAGCAGGGAAGCAGGCCGTATTAACTTCCTCCACACGCAATCTTATTCTGAAATAGTTGATCACACAGGCAGCTACTCCAAACTAGCTACGGGACCTGAAAATTCCTGCCTTTCTTTCTCTAAACTAACTTCCCTCTACATTGTAGCCCCGAGGATTGCTACCTCAGTTCCTCATTTAATACCTTCTGCACTGTTTTTCATAGTTAAAGGGAGCTGCTAAGCGCAGTTAAGTTCAGTAAGTACTGTTTTCAACCACCACAATCACGTAACATTAACCAAGACAAACAGGAATTCTATTATTTCAATTTCAGTTAAGAAGCGATGCTCTTTCCAAAGACTTTCACTTTTTTTTTTTTTTTTCCCCAATCTCTCCTGATTTGCATCACTAAAATCTCTTAAGAAAGTAGCTGAGAAAAACAAATTCTCTGAGAGATTAGTATTTTGTACTCCTTGGAAGCATCACAAACAAGTTCGAGAGATCTGATTCATAATTTCTTCACAGGTTCATTTACTTTCCTGCAATTCATTCAGCACTATACAGCTACTTCCTGCAACCATCACAGATCAATGGTTCAAAAAGAAAACCTTCTGGCTCAATTTTCTGAATGACTACCAAGATACTCAAATACTTCTTCAACCTTCCTTGGAAAATGCAAAGCTCAAGTTTCACCATTGAGAACAGCAAACTGACATTTACGGTTACCAGATTTTGAAACATGCAGTGCAAATTAAGTACTCGTAACCTTAACTACAACTGTTACGTTCTTAGCTTACACACCAGTAAACACTTTCAGTCATTTCTGGAAACTCGGCCTCAATTACTCACATTCCGATTGAAGTGCCTAAAATGATGCAGTAAGTGACCTGCCTGCAGAGGAAAAACACCTCTTTGCTCTTGTTTCAATCTCCACAACTCAGTGAGGTTGCACAAAGAGTAGACTGCAACACCACGAATTGCATATTAAGCCTTTTTTCCTTCTTAGCCTGGAAGGAAGCTCTTCAAATTTCACTCATTTCCAGCTAGTTCACAACATGGCAAGATAAAAAAAGGGAAGAAAAGGGACGGAAAGTGACCCAAGGGGCAAGATGCCTAGGCTTTCTCGATACCAAAAAGAAGAATTTTAAAAGTTATTGTTGCTACAATTTTGTGTCTTTATAGGAAGATCATCTTCTATGGAGTTAATACAATGTGACAGGCAAGTCCCTAAGCTCTGAGAGACAAGTTCTGGAACTTGGTTCTGGGAGTCTATGACCCCCCAAGAGATCCTTTGTGCTGCTGCAAGCAAAGTCATGTCCCAGCTTGTAACAATACATCTCTGCCACAAAGGTACTGAAGCAGTACCACTGTCAAAACAGAGTACTAAGCAGGATCAAAACCGTACGCTCATTAACCCCTACACTCACAGGCTCACTAAGGTTTGTGTCTTTTTAACTGCATCAGCGAAGCTGGTAGAAAACAATCTAACAAACCAGCGTGACAGCTATAGAGGTCTTACATTAAACAACCCTATTCCTAAAGAACTTTAACAACAGCTGGGTTTGGTGTATTAGAACGAATAGGCAGTTACAAATTTGCTCTTTGACTTCAAGCATCAGCCACCCCTGAACATTTAAATAAACTCACCGCAACTATCAAGGCCTACCACTTTTTAAATAGTTCACTTTTTTTTTTGACCTAAACTTTCTCCAAATACTCTTTGCTTTGGTTTCTCTTCGTTCCAGTTTCTCAGTCTCTATGAAGGTACCCAGTCCTCCTTAGAGGAGGCTGAATCCATTCAATCACAGATCACTCTGTTCTGCAACAGATTCATTTATAACAAGACCATCTCCACAGTTCCAAGGGGTCTTGACAAAAGCCACTTATTGGCTTGTCCTCCTCAATACAAGGATATCTTGGTGATCTACCCAGCTCCCTAATTGATACCACTATCCCACAATTCTGCTACGTAGCAAGGTCCCGTTTTAGCCAGGATTTAATCGTCACTGCGTACTTCAAAATGTAACTTGACAGACAGCCACAGAAAATCCTCAATTCAACAGTGGTGATACTTGAGATGACCACAGATCAAGCAAGCCCAACATTTCAGCTCAGTGCAGGCACTCTGCAGCACAAATGTGAACCAGGACCATTCTTGTTTTCAGTACTCCCACAGTAACCACCATGTAAGAACAATACAAGGGAAGAAGCATGCCTAGTGCAGGACAGCATACTACTGCCTTACGCCTCCACCTCAACTCTGGCCCCTATAAGCACAACCCACCCACACTGATGTAACACCAACTCCCCTCTCCCCGCCAAGCCTACAGTGGTATACTTCAGTTAGACTAAGCTATCCCGTAACTCAAACCGCACCTCATTCAACACACCATAGTTCTTCTAGTACAGCAAGCAGTGGCAGCCTTAACTAGATGAAACAGCTGCAAAGCATTACTATAATTCACTTGAAACAAGGCTGTCTTAACAGCGGTTCTCAGCCCATGATTTCTTTTCTCACACTGTCCAAAGAACAAGGCAGCTATCGGTATGGTAAGGAGATTGCTAGCTTCATTTCCACTCCCTGCTCTGAAAAGAAGCTTTTGTAACTTCCTAGTAGGCTGAATTTCACCACAACCTGAAGGAGGAGGACACAAAAAAGTTGGTATAGCAAGAAGCACTTGGTCTACATGGTCTTACACGTGCATTCCTTTGTGTTGCCTCACTTACCAGACTTCTTGGGAAGAAGTAAGCTGAATGTGTCAGTAGAAAATAACCAAATTCTATCCTAAGTTAGGCTGTTTTGCTGTCCAATTAGCAAGTTGGACTGCATCCAATACGCACCAGAACTGGCACTAATTGGACCCTTCCCTTTCAATTAGGGTAAGCGATGAAATGCAGTTAACAAAACCTGTAGCCCAAACAGATGGCTGGCAACATTACTTGTCTTTCTAACTCAACCATTTCAGTTCCAGAAGCATCTCCCAAAGGTCCAGTTTGATGCAGAACCCAAGTCAGCAGAGGGAATGACGGCACCTGGCACATATCCGTGCAGCCAAGCCCAAGTCTACAACAATACAGCATTAAGCCTGCGTATCTACTTGACTTACTGCTAATCTCAGAATCACACGAGTCAATTACTATGGTAATCGTATGAATGCCAATTACTAAAATTCAAACACTAAAGATGTTTTTATTTACCTAAGAGAACGAATACTTCAGTGTTTCCAGTCGTAAACCACACAGTTGCAGCGAAAGCAAAGAACAGAACTGACCTGAATGACTGAGGCACTGGAGAGCCTCTGTGTGCTCCAAGGCCCGCAAGAACTCCACAAGCTCTACCACAGTGCAACCCCGATCTCCCAGTAGTTTCAGGAGACTCCAGCTGGGACTTCCTTCTGGCTCCAGCACTTTGAGGGAACACTGCTCTAAATCCAGAGGGCTACAAAATAATATGAGAAAGACATGGCATAGACCTTCTTAGTCCTCAGAAAGGAGCAGAGTTAAAAATCACTTGTAGACAAACAAAAAGGTTTAAAAAAAAATAGAGATGGACGTATTTGCAGTATTTCCTTCAAGTTTCAGGAGTTCAGATGCAGTGACATCTCCACAGACAGAAAGTGGTATTAGTGAGCTGCATGCTACAAAACAAGAGATGCTTGTATCTAACAATTCCGACCAAACGTATTAAGAAATCTTCTAATTTTCACTTTTCACAGTCTCAGCAGAAAAACAAGTACAGCACCTTTCATTTTCATGTGCCTAACTCAGAAGCGGTAAAGAGTGAGTCGGAATCTAACTTCAAAGCCCAGGAAGACTTTGATTTTCAGAGCAGTCATTAAAACAAGTGACTGCTGCAGCTCCAGATACACACACTGCCACAGTGCAGTTAACCGCTTCAATACATTTATCTCCAGGTATAAATATGCACAGTTTCAAACTTTAGTGTTAAGTCTTCAAGCACTTTCAAGTGCAGCAGATTAAAATAACACAGATTATAAGGAAATTAATACAGCTACGGAAAGGGAATGCAAGTTTCTGTGTTCCTACTGAAACGATTCATCAGTGTTTCTTTCGTTAAATCCCAGTGCCATGCAAATCCGGGCGCAATATATTTTCTCCTATCACGTAGACTTTCATAAATTTTACTGGATACAGAGAAACAAACATAGCTACAGGCTCCACAGAGGAGTGACATTGTAGTCCTCAGGTTCTATTTCCCTATATTAATAAATACAGTCATAACAGAAAGGACACATCTTTGTGATGTACATTCAGTGCTGCACTAGAAACGCCTCATTTTTTTGAGTTACTACCCTCTAAACAAAACCTGAAAGGCCACAGGAAGTAAAACGCTCAGGAAGCGATCTCGAGAACGTGACCTAGGCAGAAGGAGTTAAAGAAAATTAATGCATTCACCCTGATATAGACAAGAGGAGTTGCAGGGAACGGCCAACACATGTTTCCCGTGCTCCCCGTCTAGGGTCAGCAGTTGGCTGCGTTCGCGCCGAGCAGCGGGGGCAGCTGCAAGGGGATGCTTCCCGGCTGCACGGGTGGCGACGCGAAAAGCCACACCACTTGCAGCCCGTCACTTCTCCCCTGGAAGCCCCCGCGCGGGACCGAGCCCCCGCAGGGCTCGG